GAGCGTGATGATGTGGCAAAAGAGAGGCGTATGACTGGTCTAACAAGGACGTAGCTTCAATCACAGTCTCAGCTTAGAGGTGAACAAAGTATGGTAGCTGCAGCACCAATTATCGAAGTCTGCCATTGTTTGGGCGCACACTGTGACCAATGTTGCTTGACATTACAGAGAAAACTGCCTCATCTCAATTACCGTATTTACTCGCGTATAGGTCGACCTGTTTTTCAAAAATCGCCTCATCAAAACTGGGGGTCGACCAATACGCGAATCCCGGTATTATATTTTTCAACTTTTTTTTTTTTCGGGGGTCCCGAAGTTAGGGGGTCGACCTATACGACGTATCGACCAATATGCGAGTAAATACGGTAACCTTATGCAAATTTGCTTGTTAGTCTGATAACACTGAGAGCATCACTATTTTATAGTTGGCAAGCGTTGTCGGCACTGAAGTAGAAGGCAGTGTGTTATGGCGCGGCAGCGGTGTTTTCCGACTTCTGATCATGGAACGTGGACGAACAGTTTAAACAACCTACAGCAACTGTCTGACGAAACTTCGGAGGCCTGTGCACACGCTGGTGACAACCCGCAGTGTGTAAACTTCCACAGCAAAGGCGTAGGACTTGCTCCGCTGCTTTGACGAAGTTTTTGCCAGTGTGCACAGGTCTCCTAGAGCTTCATCAGGCAGTTGCGGTAGGTTGTTTAAACTGTTTGTCCACATTTCATGGTTAGAAAACAGAAAACAGCTGCTGCACTATCGTACACTGCCCGTACGGCTCTCTCTGATGCCTCCACCGTGCTTTGGTACCGACGACGCTTGCCAACATTAAAATGGCGACGCTCTCAATGTTGTCAGGTCACCAAACAATTTTTTATAAGGTCTATTGAGCCTCTTTGACTGGTTGCCATCTTTTTTTTTTTTTAACATGGCATATTCTGAAAGCTTTTCGTGCAGTGATTCGTTCCAGGTTGGATGCAAAAGTAACCAAAATGAATTTCTGAAAGGTGGGCTGTTTGTAGTACCAGTTTCCGCCGCTAGCAGCCCTATTGAAAAAGGCCAATATGAACTCGGCTTATTGGAAATATTGTATTCCAATGAAGATGATGGAAACCAATAAAACTTATTGTTATCCGATTAACCCAATACGCACGATGGGAATTCATATCGGAGCACAATATCCCGATATAGTATGCGGTTATTGGTATACAACAGGATATTGGAGCACAATATCCCGATATAACTTGCGGTTATTGGTATACAACACGATATCGGAGCACAATACCCCGATATACTACACGGTTATTGGAATAGAATACGACATCGCGTGCATATTGGTGACCGACATGGACATACTGTACGGCCACACGATATACAAATATTGGTCATCGATCATGGGACCAAAGGAGAATACAATATGATATCGCGTGCATATATCTCAGAACGCGGATACCAAGTTACCAACATGCATTACGTTGGCATATCCACACGGCAATACGTGAAAAATATATTGGGTGTGGAATGTGGATACACACATAACATAAACGTTCTGCGTTGCGAACACATTAACATTGATCGACAGTGCAAGTATGTACAGCTGTTAGTACGGCACACAGTACACACAGCCTCGCGCGCTTGAAACTAGACAACCACCAAACCATTCAGAATAACTAGCCGGAACACCCGCCGCGACCTACCTTTTAATGAGAAAGCCCAACAACGACGTGCTCATTGGAGTGATCGTTTTCCAACAAATGTTTATTGCAGTTGTAATGCAACAAAAGTTGATCGCTAAACGATAAACCCAACGTACCGGGATACAATTCGATGTTGCAACACACCATCGCAATACAACAAGAAACTATCGGTGTTGGGACACGACCACCACATCGAATACGATATCAATACGAAGTTACCGACGGTGAGAAATACATCATGACACGATATACTAGTTACCAGTGTTGGGACCGAAATCGAACGCGATACGTGACAATGTCGGTTCGCACGATAAAATAATGAGGGTGAATAGGTTTGACAGGTCACGTGCATGTAGTTGCTTCTTACGCGCACATTTATCGATATTGACCCACCTTTCTGGGTAATCCTACGTGGTACACAAAATCCACGACGACATGCGAGCACATTTCACCCACCACTTTTCGTTGCCTGTTTCGCGAGATTCACACACTGTCCAAAAAACGACGTGAAAAATACGTGCACTTGCGCCATCAAACGATACGTTACAGCCTCGTTTCTCGAGAAGACAATTTCCATCGCCAACACGCGCGCGCGCGCGCGCGCGCAAGGAATTTGGACCACAGTTTGGACTTCGAACTGTTCGAACTTCGAAGGGAGCGAGCCCGGCTGGCCCGGCGCGATGCCGGCGTCGCCGGCGTGCTGGCGAGCCGCCAAGACGAGCATGCGCAGTGCGCAGCGCGCAGCGGGCGGGCGTCGGTTGCGCCGCTGTCACCACTGTGTCTGTGTCAACGACTGTGTGTTGCGCGACCCGGCCAGCCTGGCCAGCCGGCGTGATTGGCGTTCGTCGCACTCTGTACTCGTGGGCATCGAGCGAAACCTACACACTTTCAATTGCTTCGAGAGGTACGTATACACGACTCTATTACTTGCAGCATTGAGTGCTTTGGCGTACGCGGATCAAAGTAAACACCGAAGGACAGAAAGGAGACGTGAAGTTTTTAGATCGAGGCCTTTTTGAACGCCTGTGTCCCCTGTTGAAAGCACCTAGCTGTGCTCTGTTGCAGGCGTCCTTTCGACTGCGTGTGCTCCAATGTAACGTCAGTCACTGTTCACTCTCGGCTAGCTTTGACAGTTTGTTATCTCATGTGCGAAATAGACATAGAAACCAGCGCCGCGTCTCTTTCGGATACTCAGCCTCCAGCCCCCTTCCTTCCGGCGTGCTTTCTGCCGCGCCCGTTCGGCGCATTGGATTCGCGGGCGCGTCAGGCTCGTTCGAAGAGGCGTCTGAAGCTGACGAGTCGCCGAAGTGTACCGGAGCTTCTCTTTAGGAAAGTCGCAATCGACGCTCGGCGGCTCGGCTCTGAGCTCGTACTTTTCTCCTCCCGGGTATACCATAGCCTCCGAGCAATCGAGTTTGCCCTGACAGGTCGCGCCATCTATCGCCCAACTTCGAAAGCAATGGGAAGTCTGCCTCGCTGGCCTCGCCAGCTTCGCCGTACGTACGCGTTGTTTACGTTGGGCGCGTTCTACTTCTGCTACGGTCCTTTGCTCGTGTTAAGTCTGCGTACCAAGTTTCATGGCACCGGTCAAAAGTAAGCACGCCGATAATGAACCCTCTGACGACGAAAATCGCCGTACCATGACGAAACGGAAGACGTACCGGTACTGCTGTGTGAAGAACTGTCATAACAACGAGGGACTCGGACACGTGAAACTGCACCGCTTTCCTTCGCAACCGTGGGATAAGGAACGGCGTAAGAAATGGATCTCGGCTGTCAGGCGTGTAAAGTGAGTATAACCGATCAATGGTGTGTTCCAACAAGCCGAAATAATGCAGTGTTCGAGTACGCTGTCGCTTGACGCTTAAAATTGGGTTTTGGTGAAGAACCCTGCGGTCGTACTAAGTATACGGGTTGCTATTCTTGTAGACTGCTCTCCGAATTCATCGGTGCAAAAAAATATATAACTTAGAAAAACTGAGGCAACCCGAGGAAGACTTCTGCCGCAAACAGAGCGGGGTGAAGGAAATTCGTAACACATTCGAATTGAGACGTTCCTGTTTTTTGGTTCCTTGCCGCCTTGACGCAGTACTTTGTCACTTTGCGATGTCTTTAATCGACACCAAATTGATTAAAATGGTCCTACGGAATTTTTTCCCAAAGAAAAGGTGGCTTTTGTGTAAATTTTTTCTGTGTTCATCTGAACTTTTTTTTTACTAAGTTTATGAAAACAAGAGTTACAAAAAAATATTCCTTGTGCCGTATTTGAGTCCTTACGAGTGTTAACCTGCAATGAAAATATTAATGTGACTATGTATTTGGATTACTCTTGCAGCACAGATGGCTCAGAATGGGTACCAAACAGCAGCTCCAGGATCTGTTCAGAGCATTTTGTCAATAATGCCAAAAGCAACATCGCAGCCCATCCTGCGTACCTCCCCACACTCTTTCCAGCAGTGTACAAGAGGAGTTCAGTGATTCCGCAGGACCAAGCGTCAAGGTTTGACAGGTGAAGTTTTGACCAGCTTTAGTTATAACTTCAGCGGTTATTGTATCATTGAACTTCAGTAGTTAATTTGATATCCTTGTATATTTCTCCGAAAAAGTCACTATTTTTGAATATTTTAATTGCAGATATTTTAATACATTGATTTCGAAGTCAACAACATCTGTACTTAAAGCTAACTGTTATTATGCTACTGCAGTGTTTCTCAAACTTGAGCTGGGGGTCGTGAAGCGCCTCGAGAACTGAAAAGACATATGTACTTGGCTTCTCTGTGATGGCGTGGACGAAAACAAAGTACAGGTCACTGCTCCGCATCGAACCGGAACTAAGATTTGCGGTGTCCAAGATCTGCCCTCGTTATGAGAAACTGCTAAAACAAACAAGCTTGCTCTTGCCATTATAAACAGTCATTCCTCGTGGCTTGCACTATTTTGTGCCAACGGCTTCTTGCCCGGCTGATTCGCTTTTGACCATATTAACCGCAATTGAAATTTGAACACCAATTTTGTAGATTATTGTTTGTACATCGAAATCGAAAAGCCTGTGTCATTGCAAAAATCTGCAGGAGTTCGGGGCACCGCTCAATATTTGATGTTTCTAATGGGGAAGCAGCGTGCTACCGGGTTAGGCGATCGTCCAGCTTATGATCGTGATTTCATGGGCACTGCATGAATAGCTACAGGACGTTCTGTTTGTGACTCGCATCAATCTAATATTGTTTGCAGATGGCATCACAGAGTAGCAAGCAGACAAGCATCGAGTCTGTGGGGTCCCGCTTCATCTTTGACTGGAATCCCAAGCACAAGCAGGGAACGAACTAGCAGCGGCAGCCGAGGTGGGCATGAGGGCCTGCACCTTTTATGTACAGCCGTTGAATTCAGAGAGGAGAGACAACCTTCCGTGGTAAGGCTTTTGCATCAACAAGTGTCAAGTGTAACATTAGGATTTGTCAGACCCAAGTCAGTGAGGCGTGGGCACTTCTGGGGGGCACAAGTGGGCTGTTGTTATTTGAACTTAGCTGAAAGCTCTTCATGGTTGTTTTGAAAAAAACAAAAAAAACAACAAATGTGCTCACTGTAGTATTCAAATTTTTTGTTAAAGCGTTCTACACGACATAAATGGTGCCACAAACCAACCACTGGCGCCCGTGCGCTCAGGCTGGCCGCCCCCCAGGGTGCGCAGCCCCATGCTGTTGACCATTAGTAAATCAGTGCGGCTCGAAGTGTCACTCGTGTCAGACGGGTCTCATTCCGGGGCTTTTCCCGCCCCAGGCTCCACCGGTCACCGCCTCATCGGCATGCGAGATCCTCGTCATTTCCGCAGGCCTGCGTGGGCTCTGCTCTTCTACTTTATTTTTTGCATTTTTCTTTTTTTGTAATTACTACACTTACATGTTAGGTTCACAACAGGTGTTGAAGCGACACTAGTCTGAAGTCTTGGGGTACACAGTCTTGCTCATTGTTTGTCAACTTGGCTCTTTGTCGCATCACTATGGTATTCACATGGATTATGGGAAACCTGTCTGCTTTTTAGGAAGATCAGACTGATGACCCGGAGATTAGTGCAACAGATGGGATCCTCCAGGACCAAGCATCAGGGCTTGACAGGTAAAGTCTCAAAATAGTTTCAATTATCGCTTCAGTGCTCAGTTTACCTCCTTAGCTCTCTTACCCTTCCCTCGCAGTGACCGAAGTGGCACCTGGCCTGTGTTTCGAATTGTTGATATTTACAATATGCAAACTTATGCAGTAAATATTCCAGTGAGGAAAGAAATTAGACTCCGGATGTGTTTTCTACCGTGATGTTTGACTGCCGACTTAAGCAAGCTGCTTATTAATTTTCATGATGCTTATGCAGCCCAGGCCCAGCTTGGCATCAAAACTCTATCGGCACACAGGATCGGCAGGACGGCCTGCTAGAAAGTGCTGCAGAATCCAGTAAAACAGCACAGCGTTCAGTGGTAAGATTTCTGTATCAACCAAGTTGAAGTTACTAATAGAATTTCTTGAACTCTAATCAGCAGAACGTGGAATTCATAAGGGTACACATACTTTATTGCTTTTGCGTGCGAAAATGCCCTAACAATTATCTAAAATATGTGCAACCAGATATCTAAAACAAAAAACCAACAAATGCGCATGCACATTGTGGTTTACAGGACCTCATGGGACACTACTCCGTTTCACCTTACGTCCGGACGCAGCGGACATAAGGTGAAACGGCCTTGGATTGGCACCGATGGCTCGAAGCGTCCGCTGTGCCCGGACATTAGGTGATACCAAGTATAGCGCAAAGACTTCTGCGGCAACGTCTTGTAGATTTAAACATGAGGAAGATACATAGAAAAGGGGGGACAGTAAGTCGCTGAAGCTCCAGCGTTTATTGGGGATGTTGCATGATATAGGACATCTTTTGCAGTTTTAAAATTTTGAAATAATCTTGTCAATTTCACAATTAAGTCCACCTAAAATAAACACCATGGCATACGCAAAGGGTGCAATCGAGCTGGCGAGTAGGTACATATGCTCACTTTCAAGTAATTGTACATGATTTTCGAAGAGACTGTTTGGTTGTGCTCTACGTTTGCTTTCGGAGCTCTTGAAAAAAAGCCCCTCATTTTAGTTTGTGCGATGCCTGCCAGTGGCAATTTCATGTGTATGTAAAGCAGTACAACGACAACAAGAGACTAGGCAATGGCCTTCAAGGTGCCATTTTACCAGTTATTTGCGTCTATTGAAATACACGGTCTACAATGTCGGACCCGTGATGGCGGCCGCGATGCCCCATCAGTCCGAGGAGATCAAATGCGTCGGAATAGTGCAACAGCACGGATTGGCGAATCATTTGTAGACAAACCTTTCGCTTCGAAACAATACCACAGCTTCTTTGGGCCGTGTTGAGATGTTCATTCCATTGCTCGTCCTGCTTCATCCGCCATGATGCAAGGCAAATCTTCATCTCTTACGCTAGTTCACGTACCGCTAACCGTGACGATCCAGTCAAACTATTCCAGAGTTGACTGCAATTTCCGCACACATTCACAGTTGCATTAATGAATGGGGGGGGGGGAAGGGGGGGAGGGAACCGTTTGCCTCATAACGGCTCACTAGAACTCCCAATTGTTATGAACTTACTCTTTGTCATGCCACTTTATTATTTGCACCAATCGTGACAAATGCATATACTTCTAGGGTTCTCAGACCGACGACATGGAGATCTGCAAGGGGCAGTTTTCGGTCTACATTTCTACCCTGCAAGATGGCAACGGCTCAACACAGATTACACACCCCAGGGTGCCGTCTGTGTCGTCACGGCAATCTGGTCCTGACCAAAGAACAGGGTGCTTCCAAGGCTACGAGAGTGTCCGTCATTCTCCTACGTCATTGGAGGACTTGTGCAGTGTGACCACAACCGTGTTTGCCCTGCTTCTGAGCATGCTTCCTGTAGGTTCAGAACGATCGGTGGACACATCAATGGCAAACAAGCTCCTCTTGTTTCTGATGAAAATGAAACTAGGGATGAGCTACTCATCACTTGCAGTGTTGTTTTGTATACACCGCACCACAGCATCACGGCATTTTCGTACTGTGCTTGCATCACTGTCTGCTGCAACTGAAAAGTGGATTTTTCGCCCACCATCTTCAATCATCCTGTCCATGCTGCCCCAGTGCTTTAAGGCACACTACCCAGAATGCAAAATGATCATTGATTGTACCGAAGTTCGCACAGAGGAGCCGGGCTCTGTGGCTCAAGAGCGTGCCTTGTATTCTGCATACAAATCAGGGTACACTCTGAAGTTTCTGGTCGCAGTGACTCCAAATGGGATGATTTGTTTTCATTCCAAGGCCTATGGCGGACGCTGTTCCGACCTCCATATTACTGTAGATTCCCAGTTTTTGAACTTGGTTGAGCCAGGTGACGTGATATTAGCAGACAAGGGCTATCCAGGTATTAAGGCTAGCGTAGAGGGCAGTAATGCTGTGCTTGTCATGCCTCCTTTTTTTTCAGGGGCTGGGCAGTTTAGTTGCCAAGAGGTAGAGGAGACGTACAACATTGCTCAAGTCCGTATTCATGTGGAGCGAATGATTCAACGAATCAAAGTGTACAACATTCTAAACACTCGGGTACCAATTTCCCTCATACCAGTAATGAGCGATGTTTTTCATATGTGCTGCATTCTGGCGAACTTGCAACCTGCCATAATTGCATCACAGCCATAAGTGTGAAATCAGGTTGTTTCAAACCTATCGCCGGCTACAGTCTAAGCTCATTATAACAGACCTGGTTACGACAGACACTTGGATATAACATACCGATTTGTAGAGTTTGGTTGGTTTTCCTCTATGCGGCCATTGACTCAACTTCATATCTGCATACAACATACTCCTTTTACAACAGACCGAAATCTTGGTCGAAACCAAGGTCTGTAATAACGAGCTTAGACTGTATACACCTTTTCCAAAAGGGCGCAGCCGTCTTGAATGGCGTCACTTCTGGTATGCGGTGAAACATTGTTTTGATCTCTCCGCACCGCTGGAAGTTGTTTACAAAAAATGCATGATTGTTACTCCTTGTTTTGCCTCACCTATATTTTCTCGCATATTCCAGCTTGAAATGTGCCATTTTTTCGTTCCACCAAGCAGATATGGAACCCACGTAACCACAGGAAACGGAAAACATCTATAGGCCAGGAATTGAATGCACTAACAAACTACATCTGATATTTTGTTTCGAGTCATTGAAATAGACCTGGTAGTTGCCACCAAAGTTTGTTTATTTGTATTTGTTTTTGCAATACTAAGAATAAAAGGGCTTCTCAAAAGAATGGCATGAGCTTATTTCATGACAAGCAATACAAGAAAACTCTTATCTATCCTATTTTAAGTACAAATAAGTAACACGGGTTAATACTCCTCTACATGCAAGATGGCACTCTTTATTGAAAAAAATGTCCCCCCTTTTCAGCAAATGACTATAAAAACGACTCGCTTCCAAGTTGATGTTACATGTGATAAAAAACAACTACAAACACACTTGGAGATGGGGAAGATTATGTACAGTACTTCTTAACAATTGCTGGCAAGTAATGAGAAAAAAAGAAGCCTTCCAAGTGCCGGATGGCTGTCTCCAAGAAAACATTGTCTCTCTCCACAGCAACAATTACACTGTCCACACTCGTGTACACAAAGAAAAAGCACTCTCCCAGGTTAAGGACGTACATGAGGACTTGAATTTGAGTATAGTACTTGTGAGTGCGCCGTAAACACAGCCTACCCTCTTCGTACACGAGGTACTTCACGAAGGTAATTTCAGCGGTTGAATCTATGACCGCAGAGTCTTTGATGGAGTGCGGACACTTGATCTCAAGGAGAATGGTTCCTTCACCGGTCGCGAAAAGGCCATCAGGGCTGCCACACAGCCATGGCTGCTGGTTGTGCACTAGCAGCCCCACCTAGAATGGACACAGAGCATTTATCACATCTATCAAACAATTAGGAGATTAGAATTATCATACAATGGTGCCACAAAAGTTACATATTGTTTAGCAAGCCGCCTTGCATTTGTAGGCTATTGACACTTCCAAACTTGTGGTCATATACTCAAAGACTATATATAAATGCCGTACCTCCACAACACGGGCCCCGACTTTCACTTCAAATGCACTCCTCGCCACTGGCTCGGTCCGCAAGCCTGCATGGGAAATGTTGGTAGAACCAGGTCTTAAAAGTTCAGAGCACTCCTATTGAAATTGGAATATAACTTGCCATAACGTGTAGCATCACATGAAAACCATTTTGCACCAAGCAGGCTCTTGGAGAGGTCCTCGGGGGTCTTCCTGGATCTCAAAATGGTGTGCGCCATGGAGCTCGTGATTCGCACTTTCCGCTCCTTGTACCACCTGTAGAGGTGTGAAATGCATTTTTATTAGAATTGCAAAAGATAAGGATTTGTTGCAGGCTTCTTATGGCTTGGAGTGTAAATAACAATTGAGTTGCCTTATGCCTGCTATAGCAAAGAAAAAAAATCATTGAAGACACTAAAAGACCTTACCTAGCACACTTCGACTGCTGCAGTGTGGCCATACACAAGCTCAGGGGGCTGGAGCAGACAACATTATTATAAAAAAACGAGGCCTCCAGTCGACTCATGTGCGCCGAGTGGTCTTTCGGGGCCACCCGAAGTACGGGATATGTCCCGGTCACCTCTAGGGTATGGTACGCTGGCATCTCTGCACTTGGGAGAAGCTCCAGCACGGTCAGTTCCTCCACTATCCCAACGGCTGCACCCACCATGTCCTGAAGTAATCTCTCGCACTCCAGGTCCACTTGGCACCTGTTCATCTGTTTTAGCACATTTGTGAACGGTGAGTTTATGCCGTCGAAGTGGCTTATAATATAAGCTGGCGGGGAAACGAGCTGGTGGCCTCCCTCCAGCAAACACCCGGTCTTCTGAAAGGCAAGAGGTCGAGTGGTGAAGCAGACATCGAATGCATTTAGTTCAAACACGCAAGCGAGTCACGCTAAGAACCAGGGGAGGGGTCTTTGGGGGGCTGCAGCCCCCCTTCCCCCCTCCCCCAAATTGTAGACGGGGGGGGGGGGGGGGGCATGTAAGCAATTTAGCGAGCGACGAGCGACCTCAACAAGTGATGAGAGTCAGCGACGAGCGACGGAGATTTTTCACTGCCGCTCGTCGCGCCGCTTGATTTTTGGATTTCTAGAAAACGCCGCTTATCGCATTGGTCACTTCCTCCAGTCGCTTTCATGCCGAGCGAAAGCGGGTCCTCGCCGCCGTCGCGTCGCTCGCCAAATCGCTTACATGCGGTTTATGTTCCTGGCTACGCCACTGCTAAGAACACACCTCCAAAAAGTTCACTGATGGGAGCCTTGTCCTTCAGTGTTGGCTTTCCCAACGGCTTTCCCCAAGCTTGAGGAAGACTCG